GTAGCACAGTTTCTTCCTTAGCCATTAACACAAGGTCATCTGCATATTTCACAGTTTGAATAATTTGTCCTCCTAATTTGAAGTCTCCAAGCCCGTCCAGAGCTTCTTTGGTAAGGCATTCGCTGTACAAGATGAACAAAATGGGTGATAAACAGCATCCTTGTCGAACTCCTCTTCCAATCTTCACACTTCTTGTCTCCCCTCTGTCCAGTCGCAACTTTCTGATCCATGTGCAATTTACTAATCTATCTTCTTTCACACCAATCAATACCTGTTTCCTTTAGGATCTGCATTAATTTGGTCCAATTTACATAGTCAAATGCCTACTGCCAGTCTATAAAGCATCACACAGTTCATCTATCTCCAAAGTTCGTTCTGCTATAATTCTCATCATCCCAATTGCATCCCTGGTTCCTTTTCCTTTTCTAAATCCAAACTGATCCTCTCCAAGTATATCCTCTATTTCCTTTCAATTCTTCTTTTAAGTATCTATTACCTTTGCTGTATGTGCAATAAGATTTACTGTGTGATGGTCGCTGCATTTTGTAGCTTTTGTCTTTTTCTTTAAGGCAGTCATTGTCACTTCTGTAAAGTCCTTGGGCCACTCCCCAGTTTCATATATGGTGTTTATTAGTTTTGTCAGTGTTTTCAAACAACCTTCTCCCAGTAACTTAAGCACATCTCCAGGTACATAATCATCTCCTGTAGCCTTTCCATTCCTAATGTCCTTGATAGCTTTTTCCACCTCGCTTTGTAAAATACATGGTCCTTTCTTGTCTTTATCTACTTCCTCTTCCGGTTCCACTTCCAAGGTTTCTGGCCGATTAGGTCGATCACATAGTTCTGTAATATAATTTTCCCAAATTTTCAGCACTTGCCTCTGATCTACTATTCTATTGCCCTGGGAGTCTCGATGCCAATATTTTGAATCCCATGGTTTTATTTCCATCCTAGTTCTTTTGTCTTCATGTACATCAAATCATAAAGTCTTGTCCTTTGAAATTCTATAATCTCATTACATATCTTCTCAAGATATTCCTTTTTGGCCCTGTCCGTGGCTCTTTTCAATTCATTCCTCAGTCTCCTGTATTTCCTCCTGCCTTCTTCATTGTTTACATTCTTCCATTTCCTTCGCTCCTCCATTTTATTCATCATCTCCTGTGTAACCCATGGTTTTATTGCTATCTTCTCAACTTTACCAACCAATTCGCTAATAGTATCTAACATGCATTCTTTTATATTGTTCCACTGCACTTCAGCATTTCCACTTTCACTTTCACTTGCAGTGAGTTTCTCTTCTAGGGTCTCCTGCACACTTTGTCTGTGAGCATATAACTTCTCCAAATCCCATCTAGCTCTGCGCTTTTGGAATCTTATAATATTCTTCAACCTGGTTTGAAACTTGGCAACCAGTAAGTTGTCGTCAGAGTCAATATCTGCCCCAGACAGCATCTTCACATCCTTCACACTGTTTCTGAATCGATGTTTCACAAGGATGTAGTCCAGCTGATGCCGCCTCCAATCCCCAGGTGCCTTTAATTTATTTATACCATAAAATTAAGAGTTTTATTCTAAAACAGTGTTTTTACAGCAAACACTTAAAAGATAAATTATATGACTTGTTCAAAAGAATTAAATCAATGCCATTTTTCCAGTAATTTATAATCTTATATTTTTCAGCATAACAATGAACAAAGGCACAAAATATGTATAATGAAATGTTTATAGATATGTTTGTAGAATGTCGCCCACATAAATTTCAACTATCAATGTAATTATCTCTTTCTTTTCTATTTCTCTGCCCTAATTAATTTACATGTTTTTCAAAGACATATCATATTCAAAACTTCACAACCCTAAAATATACTGTATCATAAGTACACTGTATATATACACTGGCTGTATGGATGTTGTTCCCATCTCACAAATTTGTGCAGAGAATCCAGCGTTAAAACTACAGAGACTTACAAAGTATGCTGATAGGGCCACATGCTGTTTTACATAAATGAATGAAAAACAGACATATAGAGTGGGACAAAATCTTACTTATTATTATATGTAGTGGTGTTTCACTGACACATAGGTCACCAAGGATTTTGTAAAATGCACTCTATATTTTTCTGCAGCTATCATTGTAAAGAGAACAGAGGTGAATTTAATTTCATAAAGAATTTTGTAAAATGCACTCTATATTTTTCTGCAGCTATCATTGTAAAGAGAACAGAAGTGAATTTAATTACATACTATATTGAACAAGATCACTCAAGATCACAAGAGAAAAATACCAAATTGCAATTTATTGTGGCATGCCACCTAAAAGCCAAAATATCTTGAGTCAGAGCAGACATGTATTGCCAGACAACGGCTTGTTAAAACATGTGGCCGGGACAACACGCTGGAAGAGACCATTGATGAGCAACATTCAGTAAACACTGCCTAAAAGCCGGAATAGTGGAGCCAGACAGAGAGTTATCAATTTTGCTAGGCAACTGTTATAGCATGTTTCCGAGACAGCGCATATATAACAGACCATTACCATGGAAGTGAAAGCTAGAACTATTTTAGTTCCCATGGCAATGAATAGATTAGCTACTGGTGCACAGACCAAGTGAAACAGAATCCCTAAAGAAGGCGTCTTCTAATCTGTCTGACTGTAGAATATAACAGACAAAACAGAACAGAGGAGAATTTTGAAGAGGTTAGAACAGAGCGTAGACCAGAACAGAGGTCGAAGAGCAGAGCTGGGAAAAGAGGAAACCAGCAGTGCTAAGGACTAATAGCAAAGACACGACACATAGAACAGTGGTGGAAGAGGAAATGGCCGTTGAAGACAGAACCCGAGAGACAATAAATTAGTCAGGTTGCATTGTCTGGAAGACGGTGTTTCAGAGTGATTGTAATTGTAATTCAAAACAACTTATCCAGTAAACAGATTCGTCTAATCCAGAACCCAGAAATTTCTTGTCGGGTTACCAGGATGTGACATTATTATGAAGTTTGATAGTTGATTAATGAATTGCACTTCTTCAAGTAATGATGTTAATTTGTCCATCAAAATGTTAGAATACTTTAAGCCATTCAATCTGTCACCAACAAAGTGGGGATCATTATTTTTTCCCCTAAAATACCTTATTAATTTACTCATGGAACTGAGCCCTTCTAGAGGAGCTGCCAATTCTGCAGCTACTCAAGAATTTCCCAGCATTTTATGGAACCCGAAGGTTCATTACCATGTTCACAAGAGACCTCCACTGGTCCCTATCCTGAGCCAGATCAATCCAATCAACACCATCTATCAATACTATCTCTCTAAAATCCATTTTAGTACTGTCCACCCACCTACGCCTTGGTCTTCCCAGTGGTCTGTTTCCTTCTGGCGTTCCCACCAATATCCTATATGCATTCCTCTTCTCCCCCATTCAAACTACATGCCCTGCCCACCTCATCCTCCTTGACGAGAAGACAAAAGGTTCTGGACTTAATGGTAGCATGCATTACCCGAGTTCAGTTTCCTCTTAATTTCCTCCTGAATCAGGTTTTGATCTGTTATCGCTGTTCCCAAATATCTGAACTGTACCATATTTTCAGAACATCTGTTACCTATCTACATGTCATGATATTGCCCTGCTTTCTTGAAGTCTATGAACAGCTGATGTCCTGTCTCATTGTACTCCAATATTTTCTCAAATATCTGACGAATGCAAAAGATCTTATCTGTTGTTGATCTGTTACGTCAAACTTCTAAATTACCATACTACATATTTGCTGACCACTGACACTAATGCTCTACTTGTATTCAGAACAAACTCTCCCTTGCCCAATGGTGCATATTGTATAAATTAACACTCTGATCAGTAAATGTCGCTTCATCAGAAAACAGCACTGTAGCAAAGAAAGAACTGTTAGCATGTACAGCTTTTTGCACCCACTGGTAATATTTGAGTCAATTAAGAGAATCTGTGCATTGTAATTCTTGATAAAGACTGATGTGATTATGGACTGAATCTATGGTTATACAAAATCCAGAACACACTTCTACTTATTCCAGATACACATTTAATATCCACAGAGCTAATACGGGAATTATTGGCTCTCGAAGCCACAACAGCTATTGCATTTTCTCTCTTACATCACTCACTTTTACAAATAGCTAAATTTTCCATTGTTCTCAGTTTTCAAACGTTTAACATGAAGGATGACAATGAGCAGGACATAATTCAGCATGCAGCTATGCAGCTCTTGCTGAATTTCATTTAGCTTCCCCATAAATAAGGATCATATTAGCTTCATTTTCAATACTGAACACCATATATAATGAACGGATTGATACTAATTACATATATTCCTCTTCTGACATGAATTTACCATAGTTTGAAAGAGAGTGAACAAGATTACCTCATACACTATGATATGTCACTGAATTCATCTGTTTTCTCTATGGTCCTAGCTGGCTATGAAAATGTATAGTGCCATTTACAAAACCCAAGGTGACCTCCATACCTCTGAAGTGCCTCTATGTACACTGTTACTTTCGCCTTATGTGCTCTTCGATACTATACAAGGTTTTGTCAGAAACCTTTCCGACAACACACAAAAATATAGTTAAAAAAACTGAGTTCCATCGGAACCTCCAGAAATTATTCAAAATCATACAACTGTTTATTCCTTCATGTACGATGGTAAGTCAAATGAAAACTGTCCATTTTTTTAAATTCAATTTACTGAACGAAAGCAGTACACAACTATATCATTCTTCTATATAGTCTCCATTTCATTCAATACAGGCCCTCCAGCATTTACAAAGTGTATGGATTCCTCTAGAAAAAAAAAATTTGTGGTTTTCTGTCCAACCACTCAAGCACCGCCTGCTGTACCTCTTCATCAGAACGGAACGTCTTTCCTCCCGTTGCCTCTCTGAGTGGCCCAGACATGTGGTAATCACTTGGGGCTAGGTCTGGTGAGTATGGCGGATGTGGAAGACACTCAAAGTGCAAGTCTTGGATTGCTGCACCAACAGTATGGGGGCGAGCATTGTCATGATGCAAAAGGACACCTCTAGTCCACATTGCTTTGATCTGGTTGCAGGTCGAAGATGATTCTTCAAGCGATCTGAATATGAGGCACTGGTGATAGTGTTCCCCTGAGGCATGTAGTGCTCCAAAAGTAAGCCTAGTTCATCCCAAAAGAGTCAGCATAATCTTCCTTGCACATGGCTGCGTCTGGAACTTCTTGGGTTTTGATGATAAGGAATGATGCCATTCCTTGCTCATTCTCTTTGTTTCTCGTTGGCGGTAGTGCAACCAAGTTTCTTCGCCAGTAACGATTCTTGAAAGGAAGGAATCACCTTCTGCTTCAAGGTGTCGCAGAAGTTCTTCAGAGTTATGAACACGTTGTCATTTCAATTCTGGAGTCAGCTGCTGTGGCACCCACCTTGTAGAAACTTTGTGAAACTTGAGCACATCATGAATAACAGGGTGTGCAGATCTGTGGCTCATGTTAAGAATTTCAACTATTTCATCCACTGACAATCGGCGATTCTCCATCACTAGGGCTTCAACTGCTGCAATAGACTCAGGAGTCATAACTCTGTGCACCTGACCCGGGGAGGAGCGTCTGCCACATACATCACACAATTTCTGAATTTCCTATTCCACTTATACACTTGCTGCTTTGAACCTTCATCCATTGATGAACTTCAATCGGTTTCACACATTCACTGATCAAAAAACGAATTACAGAATGTTTTTCTTCTTTTGTGCATGTACATAGTGGAGCAGCCATCTTCAAACCGGCACTGATAGTGTTCTGTTTGTCTGCTTTATACTGCAACCTACAGGTTAATCTTTATAGCATTGGTAACATGTCTGCCAACTTACAGGACAATGGCCTGATATTTCAAATTTCTATCTCAGTACAGCAGTTACAGTATAATAACGAAATCTGTCTCTGGTTGTAGTGATTATATCGTGTGCACATTAGCAACTGGTGAACATCTACAGCATTCTTTATGCTAAATTTTCAGAAGTGACTCATAGTACAAATGAAATAAACATTTCCTTAAGGTTATATACTGTTTCCATCTGGAAGCCAGAATATATGTATGGATGGCAAATATATGGGCAGATTTGATATTTGAGAATTTTCACTTTAGAAAATATATTTTGAGACCCTACAACATACGTTATGTTCACATTTGGATTTCTTATGTCAGTAACTATGATAATTTCTGTCTTCTCAGATGTGACACTGTACTGTCTGGTGCATGTGTACTGACATTTCAGAGGAACATGCTGCCTCCATCTCTGGTTTTCTACCCTGAAGCTCAAGTCAGCATGTTCCTCCAACACAGTGGTAAACATCTACATGTTGTCACATTCCACATGACAGTAGTCTTCCTGTTGTAAATATATTTCACTAGATAATAATGTTATAAAGAAAGCAATATACAGGACTACTAAAGATTTAAATGTAACAACCAAGACATGACCAACAAAAGACTCAATGAGCATGTATGGTCCGCTCACCCAAGAAATGAACATACTTGAGTAATATTTAATATGCTGCCTACTGACAGCAGCATGCTGTTGCGTTATAAATGAATTCCGCAGTATTTTGTGCAGCACTGCAACACGTCTCATTGTGGGCTCAGCATACATGCTTGTTTCCGTTTGTGTACCATTACAGCTATCAGCCTTCATTGGGACTATCTGCAGACCATAGTCTCTGGATTACTGCATACCTATAAGCAAATAAACAATAACAGGGCATGTATGATCTCAAAATGTCATAGCACTGACTATGTGAATACCATATTCTAGGATGAGACACACTGTAGTCTGGTAGATACCAACAAATTAGAGCAGCTGGCTATCTCCATCTTCAGAACAGACAGTACCCTGAAGATGGAGGAAACACAATTCTCTGCAAAAGTGGTAAAAATATAAGATCACATGGCATCACATTCCTGAAGACAGTAATTATTTTGTAATAGTGTAATCCACCTCATATGGGTTAGAAAATAAAACACAGATTTTTTAAATATGTTTCTTAACCTTTAAGAGATGGCCATTTAAATTCCGGTAGTGGCCGCAGGCCTCAATAAATTTAAATGCCCGCCATTGTAGAATAATAAAAATTGTAAGCATATTACTGAAAATGCCGTGATTTCTACAATTTTTGTGATAAAGGAACGAAATAAACGCTGCTTTTATCTAGAAAGGATATAGAATCAGTTATTGTAATTTACCGATTTTAAAATCCCTAAAAATTTTTACACTGATGCCAAAAAAATTTTTTCCCCTCAATTTCAAATGTCTGTGCACAAAAATGCATACAGTTCCTGCACAAAACGTTTCTCCAGTCTAAATGCCTGTTGCTGACATCATTTTCTAACTATGGCTTATGTGGCAACAGGGGCAGATGTTTATGCTTGCGTTCCTCATTCTCCAGTATGTAGGTTCCTTTCGGTATGCACGAGTGTGGGCGATGTCTAATCGTTCACAGAAACATTGACTGTGTATTATCTTGTATAGCCACACAAGAGTACTCTGTTCTGAAATATAGCCCAGCAGTGTCAGAACGTTCAAGGCTAGCACTGTGTTCATTTGTCCACCATGGCCTCGTATTTGGAAGACGTTCAAATTGAGAATCAGCTTATAAATGACACTGATTCAGACTGTTGTACCCATGACTCTGAGAGTGGCGAGGAAGAAAGTGAATCAGAAATTGAAGTCGACGAAGACCCATCATCTTCGCTGGCAACCTGGGGACCACCACACCAGCATGGCAGGAGGGGTGTGAATAATTATTCCGGTGGAGCTGTGGGGTTAAATACCAATGAAGCTCCACACGTAAGTAAGGATTCCACCCCTTTCTGCGTTTTCATGCTCTACTTCGCAGGGATTATCCATCTGCTGGTGGAAGAGACGAATAGGTACTACCACCAGCACGTAGACAGATTTCAAGATGGACCTTCTCCGCGGCCTGACGTGACCGATTCCGAGATGTTTCTGTTTCTAGGAATAATCATTCAAATGGTACATGACATTAGAGTCAGACTGAAGGACTACTGGTAGACTGTAGAACAATTTGCCATGCCTTTCTACTCTAACACAATGAAAAGCGACCGTTTTCTACACATTCTTCGTTTTCTTCACTTTGCAGACAACAATACAGAAACTGACAGGAATTCCGACAGTAATGACCGACTATGGAAAATTCGGACCATCTTCAACACTCTCAATGACGCATGTAAAAAATATTATAACCCTTCCGAACATTTGGCCATAGACGAGATAATTGTTAAATTCAAAGGTTGGGTGGTTTTTAGGCAGTACATTCCTAAGAAACAAATTGTATCAGAATCAAAATCTTCAAAATTTGTGACACCGCTGGGTATACTTATGACATGCAAGTTTGCCTAGGAAAAGACAGGACACGTGCCAGCCAAGACGTGACAGCGACACATGCTACAGTTAGGGACCTATGCAGACGTATTGAGGGAGCAGGTCACAAACTGTACATGGACAATTTCTTTTCGTCACCAGACTTGTTTGACGAACTGATGACAAAGGATATAACATGCTGTGGGACAGTCTGACCTAATCGGAAGGGCTTGCCTGACGAATTTCGATGAAGACAATTTCGACTGAAGAAAGGTGACATTCGTATTAGGGTGAGACAGAACTTGATGGCACTAGTTTGGAAGGACAAACGTGACATTCATATGTTGGAGAACATGCACTGTCCTCCAGCAGAAGGCAGTTTCTGTGATGAGCACAGAAATTCCACCAAGCCAGCAATTGTTGCTGACTACAAGAAGCACATGGGTTATGTCGACAAAGCGGACAGAATGGCAAACAGTTATAGCATCAGTCGTCAAGCCTGGAAATGGACAAATAAATTATTTTCCCATCTCCTGAATCTGACAATTCTGAACAGTTTCATCCTGTTGTCATCCTGTGACGCGAAATTATCACACAGAGAATTTCATCTTGCCCTTGTGCGGAACATGGTGGAACATGCTGCAAGGGGTCCACCTCACCCTCAACGGTCCAGGGGTCGACCTCCTGCTGTGTCATCGGCGACATCTCAATTAGAGGAGGCAAGTCGATATCACTGGCTGACTTCCTCTAATACGAGATTGAGATGTCATTTGTGCTTTTCGCGTGGCAAACGAAGTAACATCCGGACAAAGTGTGTGAAGTGCGACGTTGGACTCTGCATTTCCGGATGTTTCCAACAGTTCCACATGAAGGCAACATTCAGTTAGATGACGCAGGAGGGAAGACAGTCTACTTATAAAGCTGGTGTCCAAAAATAGTGTAAGTAGAACAAGAATTTCTATCTTAAAATAAGATTTTAAAACACTATGCACAAGCATGGATTGTGGGTACCCATACGGTGATGCATGGCCACTCGGCTGTACTTTAAATGATGCTGTATGGTGACATTAGGCTCTTAAAGGTTAATTAACTGAAAGTGAGGTCTGTACAAATATCAGAACAGCTGGAACATCAGGGTTCGATTTCTGCCAGGAGATGATATTTTTCTCTATGCCTAAGACATGCTCTGGGGACATCCCTCCACCTATCCAATCGGTACCACAAGGCTGTTTCCCCCAAAACAAACCACTTAAGTGTCAAACTGAATTCCCACCAACATCTACTGGGCGTTTATGAACATGTGGAAATAAACCTCCACTATCCATGTCTTCATGGCATCTTCAATTAAGCACATGGATATCTTTATCTCTATGTTTATAATGTATTGTTCCAGACTACTAATCTTGTACCGTTAATGCCAAGTTTAGGTAATGTAACTTATAATCCCTGAAGAAACATAAGTATGCTCAAAACTACTGGAACAAAGGAAACAAGCCAAACTGCATTGATTGCTGGGTCCAAGCAAAATAAATGGGGATAATTTGATCAATACAAGACAGGAAGCCAACAGGCATTTCATTAATAAAAAGATGGAATACCTGAAAGACAAAATTAATAAGCTTGCAATTAACAGTGAGAACAAGAAAATTAATACAAACCAGTATAGAAGACTGTATGAATTTAAGAAGACTTCTCAACCTAGAAACAACTTAGTAAAGGATGAGAATGGTGATCTGCTTGCAGATTCTCACAACATTTGAACAGGTAGAAGAACTACTTCTCTCAGTTACTGTATGAACATAGGGTCAGTGATGTTAGGCAGATAGGAATACATACAGCTGAACCATTAGTACCTGGTCCTTGTCATTTTGAGGTTTAAACTGCTATTGCAAAGTTGAAAAAGTATAAATCGCCAGGTGGTGATCACATTCCAGTAGAATCGATTCAAGCAAGTGGTTAAACATTACAGCCTGAGTTCCATAAATTCATTAATTCGATTTGGAATAAGGAAGAATTGCCTGACCAGATCTCTCATATGCTACTTCTTCATAAGCTTAGTGTTTTTGGACTTTCTGGTGATCATGTAAACTGGATTGGCAGCTGGAACTCTTCTTTTGCCTTCTGAAGTACTCTCCAACGTTCCTCAAGATCTGTTCTGGGACCCTTGCTTTTTACTGTGTTTGTTAATTGCTTACATGATGCCTGTGCTTTAGAGCAGTTAAAATTGCACTGCAAGAAGAGAGTTTAAAACACATCTACATTGTCAGATGCAGAGCTATCAGAGATTCTTCAAGAGGCACCTTGACAAAAAAAAAAATATGCATAGGAAATGGACGTGAGGTGGTTGTACACACAAAGTTTCTGCATTATTTCTGAAAGCGCTTCATTTAAAAGCTCAATAGGATTAAATAATGTGCTTGAGAATGTGACCAAACAATTTTGATACCTTCCTGGGCTTTATCACTCAGTTTTACACAAGATGCTACACCTGCTCAAATAAAACTGGAACTAATTACGTCATATCCAACTGCGGAAAGTTACAAAAGTCAGCTGTATTCTGTATTTGTATGTGCACTGGAAACATGTACTGTATTTGTATTATGCCATGTTCTACATCGTTAACTTAAACCCATGAAGGGTCGGTCTATGGAATGTAAATAAATTCAGTTCTATCTTATTCTATTCCACTCAGCATTCAGGAACCAGGGTAGTGCGGTTGGTATAGCAACTGGTTACGGGCTGGGCGACTGAGCATTCTATTGAGTCCCAGTGGGATCAAAAATTTTCTCTTGTCCACGTTACCCAGACCAGCTCTGGGGTCCACAAAACTTCCTATCCAATGGTTACCGAGACCCCTTTACCTGGGGGTAAAGCGGCTGGGTAGTGAACCTGACCAATCACCTCCAACTAGTGCCGAGGTCAACAAAATGTGGATCTATACATCCACTTCCCATATGCCTTCATAGCATAATGCTTAATTAGTTAAGCAGAGACAACTTTACCTTTATACTCAGTATCCTTCTACCAAGAGGTTCTCTTGGATACTGGAGAAAAAATGGGAGTACAATGAGTAAGTATTATATCAGCTAGTCATAGACTTCAAGAAAGCCTATGATTCAGTAATGAGGGAAGTATTGTACAATATTTTGACAGAGTTTGGGGTACCTATGACAGTAGTTAGACTGATTAAAATGTGTTTAAGTTGGTATAGGTAAACATTTGTCTGATAATCTCCATTTCCAGAATTATCTAAAACAAGGAGATGCTTCATCGTCACTCCTTTTCAACTTTGCTTTAGAATATGCCATTAGGAAGGTCGAGGAAAACCAGGGGGGACTGAAATTAAATGGGACACATCAGCTGTTGGTCTATGACGATGATGTGAAAGTACTGAGAGATAATATAGATAGCATACAAAAACACAAACTTTGACTGACGCTACTTAGGAGGTTGGTCTAGAAGTAAACACAGAGAAAACTAAGTATATGTTGATACCTAGTCACCAGGATGCAGAGCAAATTCATAACATAAAAATAGGTAACAGATGTTTTCAAAATGTGGCACAGTTCAGATATTTGGGAACAATGATAACAAATCAAAACCTGATTCAGGATGAAATTAAGAGGAGACTGAAATCTGGTAATGCTTGCTACCATTCAGTCCAGAAGCTTCTGTCTTCTCGTCTGCTGCCTAAGAGCATAAAAATTAGAATACAAAAACTATAATTTTGAATGTGATTCTGTATGGGTGTGAAACCTGATCTGACTTTAAGGGAGAAACACAGACTTTGAGTATTTGAGATCAGGGTGCTGACGAGAATATTTGGACCAAAGAGAGATGAAGTGACAGAAGGCTGGAGAAAACTGCAAAATGAGGAGCTTTATAACTTGTACTCTTCTCCAAGTATAATTAGAATGGTCAAGTTAAGGGGGATGAGATGGGCAGGACAGGTAACACAAATGGGGGAGAGGATAGGATATAGGTTACTGGTGTGAAAGCTGAAAGGAAGGAGACCACTGGGAAGACCAAGACATTGGTGGGTGCACAATATTAAAATGGGTCTTAGAGACAGGCTGGGATGGTATTGATTGGATTAAACTGACTCAGGACAGGGGCCAGTGGAGGGCTCTTGTGAACACTGTAATGAACCTCTGGGTTTATTAAATGCTGGGAAGTTCTTGAGTACCTGCACAATAGGTGAACTTCTCAAGAAGGGCTCAGCTCCATGAGTGATGAGTTTCTGTTGCTCATGGGACCTTGATAGATATGATACAATTCAAGGAACATTAAGTTCAGAAATTTCTGCACTTCCTGGCATATGTGCTGGAAGCAACAATTCTCAAAATGAGGGAAACGATATGAAACATCAATCCAGGCATTACTTTGTAAACAAAGACCCAAAACCTCGATAAAACAGAATGATACCCTACGCTCAAAATGTTTGTAATGGAAACAACCTTACTGATTAGGCTAGTCTAGTAATAATGTCATACACTTGTATTCAGGAGTTACTTGGTTTGAAACGCACGCACGACACCTGCTATCCAATCTGAAATTTACATGGTTTTTCTCAGTCCTTACAAGTAAATGCCGGGATAGTATCTCAATTAGGCCACAACTACTTTCTCTCGAATCCCTTCCAATCATTATTCATCTACCATCCCACCATTCTGTGCTGTATAGTCTCATTAACTTAAAATAAGTTCTATATTTATCATCGCTCCTTTGAATTATATTTGTAATAGGTCAATTTCATCTGGTTCATTCCCTACATGATTAAAATATTCTGTGGTTAAGTCACTATTTAAAAAAGGTGACAATAAAGATATAAAAAATTAAAGGCCTATATCATTACTAACTTCTTTTTCTAAAACTTTTGAAAAGATGATATACATAAGACTTTCTAAACATGTAATAAATAATGCTATATTATCTGGTGAACAGTTTGGGTTTAGAAGCAATTCCTCAACAGGAAAGGCAAAGTTTAAACTTCTAAATTATATTTTACAGGCCTTAAATAATAAGGAACTTGTGGGAGGTATTTTTTGTGACTTTGAGAAAGCCTTTAATTGTGTTAATCACGACTTATTAATGAAGAAATTGAAATTCTATGGAATTGTAGGCAATGCATACTCTAATCAAATCATATGACAGTGATAGGTATCAGCGAGTCCTCACTGATGATAAATTAACACATTCTTATACTTCTTCAGAATGGGGGAAGATTAAACATGGAGTGCCCCAGGGATCTATACTTGGACCAATGCTTTTTCTTTTATACATAAATGACCTAGCTGAAGTAGTTAATTATAACTCTAAGCCAGTCATGTTTGCTGATGATACCAGCATTATTATCAGTATTCATAATTTAGTAAATTTTAAAAAAGATATTATTTCCTCTTTCAGACAGTTGAATGAATGGTTTAATATCAATTTGTTGTCATTAAATTATAACAAAACTCAGTATATACAATTTAGAACCACTAAGAGCCAAACAATTCAATTAGATATCAGTTATAATAATAAATATATTATTAACAATATAAATACTCGGTTTTTAGGTATTACTGTCAACAGCTCCTTGTCATGGAAGCATCATGTTGATGGACTTATGGTTAAATTAAGCAAAGCATGTTATGCTATTAGATCTTTAGGACCCTTTTTGTCACATAAATCACTAAGGATGATTTACTTTTCTTATTTTCATGCAGTTATGTCATATGGTACAATCTTCTGGGGGAATTCCCCTTATAGTATCAATATATTTAAACTACAAGAAAGGTCATAAGAATTATTACAAATTCCAGTAACAGGGATTCCTGTAGGGAGTTGTTTGAGAAACTAGATATATTACCGTTTTATACTCAGTATATATTTTCATTACTAATTTTTGTAATTGATAATATCTCCACATTTAAAACAAATTCAGAGTTATATCATATCAACACCAGAGGTAAAAATAATTTTTACCCTTCACAACCAAGGTTGTCTGTCTATAAAAATGGTGTTTATTATATAGGTATAAAGGCATTTAATCACTTACCTCCTTGCATAAAAAATTGTCTGATAATAAGAATCAATTTAAAAATACTCTAAAAAACTACCTTATATTGAATAATTTTTATTCAATGAAGAATTTTTATAGTAATTACTAATTTTAATGTGAATTTTTAAGGTTTTATGTATCATAGGTGCTTTATTCTGGCATAAATATGTTATCATCTACCTTTTGGTATGACGATTTTTTACAATATTAAATTTAAGATGTTATGTTTAATGTTAAAGTAGGAAGATAAACAGTTTGGTTTATTGTTTGACCTGACCTATGCTTATTTTCATAGCATGTGTATTTTAGTTACTTGTCTGTGATTGGTTCTACATCTGTCAGGCGTATTTGTAGCCTAGATTGGATTGATGGAATTTTACAATGGAATAAATAAATCAATTACTGCAACTGTCACAAAAAACACTACAAAAACAAACTTCTTTTTTAATGCTAGTAGGATGAGACTAAGTCCCTTGTACTGCGGCCACTTCTGGCCTATTGTACCAGCCCTAGATGATAGGTGAGGGTGATTGTGGAGCAATTGGTGGAGTGAAGATTGGCAGGGGAAACCGAAGTACTTGAAGAAAACCTGTCCTGGCGCCACTTTGTCCACCACAAAACCCACTTGACCAGACCAGTGTTCGAACCTGGGCCACTGTGGTGGGAAGCCAGCGACTAACTGCTTGAGCTATGGCACAGCCCAAAACAAACCTTACTGAAAACTGTCAAAAGTTCAACATAACCTTTGTTATGCTCTGAGCTGTCCTCATCATTTCTCGAGATTTTATGACAGCATGCACTAAAATGGTTAGTTCAACCATTCTTGTATCTTCAGCAGTTCTTAAGAATAAACTAACTGCAGATTCTTAATTTTCTGTTTAACTGTTCTAAGTCAAGATGTTCCTATTCAAGCCACAATTCTGAACAGTGCAGCTTCTTTCACTAGTTTTTTTCTACACTGTACAGTACATATATTCCACAAACATTCATGGTTTCTGCACACTTCCACAACCAGGACTGTAATTTCTTTACCCCATTTTGTCAGCATGTTTGGGCAAGCTGGTATTCTTGAAAAATCTTTTAAATGCATAACTGAAATGCAAAACATTCTCTAGATTGGAAGGAATTCATGCATTGTCATAGGTCTAGTACAGAGACTAATCAAAAACCGGTACCTGCTTCGTTACTGGAGTGCGGTTATGTTACGGTATACATGTGTCGAGCAACTTGACACTAGAAACCCATTCCAGTACCTTGTCATTGCACCAAAACTATGTAAACAAGGCTTTAATTTACAACAATGCAAGACATGTGAAACATATGGGGATGTAAACAGAAAGCAATGCAATTTCGTAAACCTGTCAGACAAGTCTACCTGGTGACCTGCAGTGCTACATTCACCCCTTTAGTGGTTTGATCTATTTTTGACAAACTTTATTTTATGCACAGGCTGAAAAATGAAACAAACAACTGATCTAACCTACCTAAGTCTTCGGCTGTAAATGATCAGTTATAACACAAACAGTATCGTATATTGAAGTGCTTTCAGAGCCGAAAGAGTATAGTTACACATTACATTTGCTAACACTGACACCATCACAATTTAAAACGGATTTAAAACTTTACTCTTTTATCCTCTTCTGTGCAACATGTAGATCAGATTAAGACCGATCCAGACAATCACTTTGGCCACGTTGTTCAGTCTGACCTTTAATGCACTAACTAATTAAAGTACTAACTCGTGCACAGCAGCACACAAAGATGGATCACATCACATGTATCACCTATAAGTACAAGTAATTTGTTTACGAAATTATGTACGAGCCCAAATGCGATGCAGGACACCTTCAGAAGTAATCTAATCTAGCTGCACGAACTCAACAACAAACTTCCAATTTTTGCTTTGTGCCCACCATGGCCACCGTACAAGTTCTTTGCAGCGTTACTAGGCAAGAAATAACAGAAAGAAGGCCCCCTTTTATGGCTGGTTTCTTTTGTTTTGCATTTTCCACAGTGCAAACATGGCACAGATCGCACAGATAAAGCGTTCTGACGATGGTGTATAACAGTCAGAATTAGTGGGTTTTTGGACTTTGTCCATCGTCCGGTATTCTAATCTATTACGACCAAATATGATGACGATCGAAGAGGATTCGTCGGAAGAGATCGACAAAGGGCAGATATAACGGGAAGTGGAATATTCTGGCAGGTATTGTATCTATGATATTCCTGTATCACATTATAGGCCTATATAGTTAATATAAATCGTATATCGATATCCACTGTACACAGATGTCCTACTGTGGGAAGAAATGAGTGCTGTATGCCCATACACTGTTCACAAGTTTTAAAATCAGTCTTCACATGCCCCTTTATCTGTGGGGATCGGTGAGGATTGCATGAATATATCAGTCTCTAGTTTACTATTTTGCACTCCTTATGCGCCGCCAGGATATTTTTAAAGGGGACGGAAGGGAGCAGGCAGTTTTACAAGGGGCGTCAGCCAGGAAATTTGGTTAGAAACTTACGTTCGAACCATTTAATACTGAAAGAAGAAAGCAGTGTTCTGGGATTTGACACCGTGTATATGTGGTGTCAACCGACGTTTCGGAGGAACGTATCGCCTTCTACCCTGAATTAACGATAGTTAACTTCAAATGACGCATTGCAAGGAGCACCGCCGTGAAGCATTGCCCGAATTCAGTCTCCTCTTAATTTCCTCCAGAATCTGGTTTTGATTTGTTATAGTCATTCCCAAATATCAGAACTGTGCCACATTTTCAAAGGATCTATTAGCTATTTTTATGTCATGATTTTGCCCTGCTTTCTGGTTACAAGACAGCAACATATACTTAGTTTTCTCTATGTTTACTTCTAGATCGACTTCCGTACTAGCATCAATTAAAATTTCTCTGTTTTTCTTTATGGTATCTACATTATCACCCAGCAGATTCACATCATCAGCATAGACCAGTAGCTGATGTGTCCCTTTTCATTGCAGCCCTACGTGCTTTTCCTGGACCTTCGTAATGGCATATTCTGAAGCAAAGTTGAAAAGCAGTGGCAATAGAGCATCTCCTTGATTTAGACCATTCTTGATGGGAAAACTATTAGACAATTATTTAGCTATATGGACTTTATGATACGTTTCATATAAACACATTTTAATCAGCCTGATTAGTTTCATTGGTACCCCAAACTCTATGAGAATATTGTACAATACTTCCCTCATAACTGAATCATAGGCTTTTTTTTTAAGTCTACGAATAGCTGATATACTGTCTCATTGTACTCACATTTTTTTCCCCAGGATCTGTCAAATGCTAAAGATCTGATCAGTAGTTGATCTGTTATGTCGAAACCCACACTGATGATCCCAATAATTTCATCTGTATATGGACTTAAACTTGAGAGAAGAATGCTGGAAAAAATTTTGTTTGAAACTGATAGCCATGATATCCCATGATAAGTGCTAGTCAGTTTTATCACCCTTCTTGTGAATTGGTACAATAATAGACTCCTTCCACTGATCAGGCAATTCTTCCTTATTCCAAATAGAATTAACTTATTGATCTAAGAATGTAATATTTCACCTTGTGTTTGAATCAGTTCTGTCAGAATCTGATCACTACCTGGTGATTTATACCTTTTCAAATTTACAATAGCAGTTTCAGCCTCAAAGGACTAGGATCAGGCACTAATGACTCAGCTCTGTATCATTGACACTATGTACATTCCATAACGGAGAAGTAGTTCTTCCACCTAAGTGGAATGTTGTGAGAATCTGCAAGTAGATCACAATTCTCATCCTTCCCTAAGTTACTTCTAGGTTGATAACCCCTCTTCAGTCATTTATTCCTGTATACAGGTCTCTAATGTTATTGTTTTTAGTCCATGATTTATTTCACCGTCTTCTAGTGCATACACTTATCTACTTCACTCCTCTCACTCGCACTACATGTTTCGGCACAAAAGTGCCATCCTCAGGTGCTTATTTGCTTAACGTTAAACTAGTTCATTACATGCCTTGTCGTCTTCATATTAAAATAATTAAAATATATATTTATCATATATATTGATAAATGTTAAAAATTAAATATTAAAATATAAAATTGTTCAGGATTTTTCCTACATCGTATTAACTACTAAAGTCACATTTATTGTTTTTACTGTTCATTGCAAGCTCATCAGTTTTGTCTTTCAGATATTCCTTCCTTTTATTCCTGAAATGCCTGCTGGTTTCATGTCTTATATTATCCAGGTTTATTTTTCTTGGATCCTGTAACAATTACAATTTGGCTTGCTTCCTTAGATCTAATAATTCTGAGCATCCTTCATCTAACCATGGCTTATGCTTCTTCAATTCGTAATAACGTAGAATCTCTTTGGCAGAAACTGATTTTCTCTAATAGTTTCCCAAACTCTATTAATATCCACTTCAGTATCTATGTTTTCCAAAGCTGCAAACCTATTTGAGATTTCAATATGATATTGATCCATACCCTCTTACTTACTCATGGAGCTGAGCCCTTCTGGAGGAGCCACAAATTCTGCAGGTACTCAAGAATTTCCCAGCATTTTATGGAACACAAAGGTTCATTACCGTGTTCACAAGAGCCCTGCACTGGTCCCTATCCTGAGCCAGATCAATCCAATCAATACCATCTATCAATACTATCTCTCTAAGATCCATTTTAGTATTGTAAGATTTGAGGCTTTCACGGCGGTGACTATGCAGAAAGCAGTCTTCTGGGATTTGGCACCGTGTATATGTGGTGTTAACCGACGTTTCGGAGGAACGTATCGCCTCCATCTTCAGGGTAGAAGAAAAAGTATAAGAAATCTGCAAGCGACAAGACCGTGAGAATGGTAAAAGCAGACTGGAAATAACACAGCTATGTGTGAGCAGAGAGGGAAGGGGGGGGAAGGGCAAGTATACAAGTGAAAGCAGTGGTGTGGGAGGGGTAGGGGAAGGGAGCTGGGGCAAGCGTGGTTTTGTGTACGGGAGAGAAAAGCAAGGTTAAGGGCTGGGTTCTAAACCCTGAAGATGGAGGCGATACGTTCCTCCGAAACGTCGGTTAACACCACATATACACGGTGCCAAATCCCAGAACACTGCTTTCTGCATTTTAGTATTGTCCACCCACCTACGCCTTGGTCTTCCCATTGGTCTCCTTCCTTCTGGCTTTCCCACCAATATCCTATATGCATTCCTAGTCTCCCACATTCGTGCTACATGCCCTGCCCACCTCATCCTCCTTGACTTGATCATTCTAATTATACTTGGAGAAGAGTACAAGTTATGGAGCTCCTCATTGTGTTATGTTACAGAAATGATCCTTACCCTCTACCTCATTTAATTTCTTGAGTTTAACCTCTCCATATGAACTTTGTGTACTGCTTGTTTGCTCACTGCCAGTCTTTCCCTAACCTTTGCCACCACCAGGTGGTGGTCAGTATCACAGTCTGCTGCCCTGAATGACTGGACGTCAAGTATACTTGAATGCAGTCTCCCTTTTATAAAAAATGGTCACTTTGGTTGTGCATCTTTCCATCAGGCGATGTTCAAGAAAATTTCTGAATGTTACAGTGTGGGAACATCATACTTCTGACCAAGGGTCTCCAAACTACGGCCCGTGGGCCACATCTGGCCCGCGAAAGAATTGTGCAGAAATGTGCCAATTGAACTAATTTTCCAGTGAGTACTGGCAAATGTGATTCCGAGCTTATTGACCTGACATATTATACTGCAGTTCGATGGCTTAGCTGTGGAAAGGTTCTTTTGCGCTTCTATCAGCTCAGGAATGAAATTGATAGATTTCTTACCGAGAAAAACCAGCACGAACCACTTTTATCAGATACCGAGGGGCTTTGGAAATTAGCTTTTTTTGCTGATCTGGTGAATCATATGAACCATTTGAATTTAAAGTGGCAGGGTGAAAATAACTTAATATGTGATTTATTTGCACTTATCAAGGCATTCAGAGCAAAGTTGATACCTCTGGAAAGCCAAGTGAAAAATTGTAACTTTGTTCATATGCTATACTGTGCAGAGTTGCATAAAAAGGGTGAAGCAGAATTTCCTTCCTCATTTGCAAATTTAGTCATTTCAGGTTTGAAAGAACAATTTTGGAAGCGATTTGCTGATTTGGATTCCAGTGCTCAGGAAATTAGATTGTTTCAAAATCCATTTGACTGTGATGCTGCAGATGTCCAAAGTCAAATTCAAATGGAAATTATTGAACTTCATGAAAATTATCATATTAAAGACAAATA